CACACACACACACACACACACACACACACACACACACCTGAGAGCATAAAAATACACACTAACAATAACTCAGTCACTCTGTTACTGTCTATTGCTCTCTCCCTCATTCTCCCTGACACACAGTGTGAACGGCTGGCCTGCTTTGCCTCTGAGCCCTGTGCACACACACATAGACACACACACAGACACGCTCGCACGACCACTCATGCGGCTCAGCAGCACTGACTTTGACAAATAACCAGGAAGTCCTGGTGTTGGCTTAAAAACTCCAACTTGTTCAGTTGCAATTCTGCATTTGTCCTGCTTTAATGGCTGTGGAAGTGGCTTTGGAGGTAATCTGTCAGTGATTGATTAGAGCCTGGCCAAATCCCCCCTCACTGAACGCATTGGTAAGCTGCAGGCCTGCCTGCTGCTGCTGCTGCTGCTGCTGTGTGAGGCAGAGAGAGACAGAGCAGAGAAAAGACAACACGGAGACAGAGAGTTCTTCGATGTGAAAGTACATCGAAGAACTCAATAAGAATTCAGCTGGGAATTCATGTGTCCTTTTTTTAAAGGCCAAAACAGCCACAAACTCATCTTGCATATATTATGAAGCTGACAAAATCAAAGCAAGTAAGGGAATGTTTTATCTTTAGCAATATATTATTTCACACAGTGCCCAAATATTCCTTATTTTATGTTTGGAGACGATCAAACCCCCAAACCACCACATTTCTTTCTTATTTTTTATAGCATCATTTAATAAAAATTATGTTTGTAAGAATTCAGCTCCAATATTTTGCAGTCATTAAGCATCAACCTGGTCAAAGTCCTCATCAGTGGTGACCCCAACCCTAGCGCCACACACTAATCTAATCTTTTTGTTTTAGAGACAAACAAAAGGGACTTTTTTGGAAAATGTAAAAAATATTTGTGATCTCCTGATTGCTAAGGGTTTGGAGAGCGATACAAAAAAGTCATGATCTGATAGCACAGGGTTACATAAGGTGATCCTTTAACTATATCAAATTTATAGTAAATTTTTTTTGAAAAGATATTAAATATTTTATATAAAAAAATGTTGATATGATGTTTAAGATTTCACTGGAATATCAAATCAAATCAAATCAAATCACTTTTATTGTCACATCACATGTGCAGGCACACTGGCACAGCACATGCGAGTGAAATTCTTGTG